CCATGTAAGATCTAGCTTCCTTAACCACTAGCCATGGGGCTGGACCCCTAATTATTTATTTTTAACTAAAGAAATTTCAGACTAATTATGGTGCAGAATTTTTTTTTCTGACTGTATTTCTTGGTTTATATTCCTAAAGAGGAAACAGATTCTATGGAAAAATCAGAAAGTGGTTATAATATGTTTTATTATTTTAAAAATATAAAAGTGATTGTATATTCTACCATATTAAGATGTTTTTTATTTGGTTTTTCCATTTGAAATTTAAAAATATATACATTTTGGATTGCAAGTGTTTCAAAGCAATGAAGTTAGACATTTATGTAAGTGGAACACTTAATAGAACCCTCAAGTTATTTCTCTGCTGAAATAAATTATTCCGTTGAAAAGTAGAAAGAGAGCAACTTGACCAAGAGGCTTAACATTAATTAGAGAATGATTTTTTTTTTTTTGAGAGGTTTTTGCTGTAGGGCACATGCGCTCGCCAGACAGAGACGGAGAGACAGAAAGTGAGAAATCACCCCCCAGGGGGGATGGCCATGCCGCAATCCCTTCTCCTCCATTCTCCTCTCGGGATCTTGGGCACATACACACACGCACCTGGCTTGAGTTTAGGCCACCGGGTCCAGGACTCGAACCGTGGTGGACTACGTAGGAGTCCAGCGACATAGCCATTATGCTAACTGCTGGTCCCTATTTTCTTTTTTTTGGAGAGGTTTTTGCTATAGGCGCGTGCGCTCGCCAGCCACACAGAAAGAGACAGAGAGACAGAAAGCGAGAGATCACCCCCCAGGGAGGGATGGCCATGCTGCAATCCCTTCTCCTCCATTCTCTTGGGATCTTGGGCATGCACACACACGCACTGGTGTGAGTTTAAGTCACCGGGTCCAGGACTTGAACCACAGTCGACTACGTGGGAGTCCAGTGACATAGCCATTACGCTAACTGCTGGTTCCATAGAGAATGGTTTTTTACAGTAGAAATACAGAGGACCCTAGGGGTCCTGAATTTTTGCTTTTTGGTCCTATGGAGCTTTGCTGAGACTAATGCAGATATTTACTTTGGCACAATAAGCTTAGACTGCCTCGGTTAGGTGTCTGGATTCTCAACTGCCTGTTCATGAATCCTAACTCCTTCACTTAGAGTCTCTATGACTGTAAGTTAATTCACCTCTTTCTACCTCAGTTTTCTTATTAAAAATGGGAATAGTATTACACCTCTCTGCCCTCTCTGTAAGGGTGTGGTGAGGATGAAACTAATTCATATCTATAAAATGTGTACTAAGTTTTATTAAAGGAAAAGCTAAAGTGAAAACTAATGTTGTAATAAAAACAATTTAAAAACTTGTGTCTGCCCTATCACCTAGCGGTTAAGGGAGCCAGATCCCACCTGAATGACTGCATTTTGAATCCCAGGGTCTCCCTGTCCCCATGGCTTGACACAGCCGCACTGGACTCGTGTGCATGCAGAAATCAGAGTAGGAGGGAGAAGTGGAAGAGAAGGGGTTACGGCGGGACCACGCCCCATTGGGGAAGTGCTTTCTCCCTCTTTCTCTGGTAGCACACTTGCCTCTGGCCAAAAAAAAAAAGGTTTATACAAAAAAGAAAGAAGGACCTCCCCCCACCCTCTTGTAGTTTCCAAGTCAGGATATAGGAATGTTGGTGAGTAGTTTCATATGGTTTTGATTTTTGAAATGACCACCTTAAGGATGCCAAATTGAGAACTGTTAGGTTATCAGGAAAGGCATGACATGTTTTTCTATGCAAAAATGTGTCTTGACTTTCCTGACAAGCCAGTAAGTAGAAATCAAACAATAAACAGCTGTAAGTTGCATACCCACACGGACTGCTGTGGCTTTAACCAGAACCCTACTTCTGAATACATATCTTCTCATTTGGTGAAGCAGGGCAGCTTTTGCCTTATCTCAGCAACCAAACTGCTTTTTCAGGAGGTTGCTTTTTAGTGCAAGATAAAGGGTCAGTGGTCTATTATGTAAGTTCTTCCTTTCACTCTATTACTTCGTATATTGACTACTAATTTTTGGGTCTTACCTGTCACTAAATTGCAGAGAGGGGAGGAAAACTTGTCATTTGGCCATTTATTTAGAGTACAGGGTTAAAATTTTTAAGTGTTACAGGGGTAAATGTTTTTATGTTAGATATTCATATGTATTAGTTGGCTAACACAAAGATGAGGTTAGACATTCATATGTATTAGTTGGCTAACACAAAGATTTTTACCTGCCTACAAAAGCTTATCTTGCATAGACAATAATGAAACTGATACAGTACTACTCAGTTTTATTTTAGTACTTTCTAAACACTTCGTTTGCCATTAACAGTGAGTGGAATGGTAATTTTAAAAAGTTTTAATTCCAGCATTAAAATGTAAAACATGGCAGAGTGCTTTGGTTTAGTTTATTCTTTTTTTAAATTTTGTTCCAGTTATTAACATTTCAAAAGAAACTAATATTTGTTGAACATTTACATCCTGGGGCATTGAAGCAGGTGCTTTTACCTTGTGTTTCACTTAACTTTCAAAGCTTAAATTGTAAATTAAATGTCTTTATGTAGGCAAGAACAATACTTACTAGAAAAAAGGGGTGCTATTTGTTGATCATCGATAGTATTGTCGTTGTTGGTACCTACCAGTGCCTTCAACGAATCAGTCATGGCTTTGGGAAGCCGTTGTTAAAACTTTCTCTCCCAGATGGACTTCAAGTAGTGATGACCAATAAAGGAATTTAAGAAGGTGGATCTTTTTTTTTTAACTCCTGACTTGTTAGTCTAGCCTTTATTTTTTGGTGTCCATTTTTCTTAACCTTCCCAGTTCATCTTTCTTTGGCCTAATAAAATACTAATTTGTTCAATGGATATTTGTTAAGCACTTGGTATTTGCCCATTACTACACTAGAAGCTAGTGATATACCCAGGAACTGGGCATTTAGTAATAACTGCCAGTGAGATAGCGTTGCAAAAACACAGACGAGAGTACATCAATAGTAGTTACCACGATGTAGCTATTATATAGAGAAACATTTTTTTTAACATTTTAAATAATTATTTAATTTTATTTGTTTATTATTATTACTGTTTCATTTGCTATAGGGCATGTGCACTTACCAGAGAGAGACGTAGGGGGTGGGGGAAGTGAGTGAGAAAACAAGCTGGCCACGTCTGGGACTCTAACCGCCATTGGCTATGTGGGTGTCCTACACCTTAACCACCATGTCCCCCGATGGCCCCCACACAGAATATTTGAATCACGGTTTCTAAAAGGAAAGTACTTGAATTAACCATTTCCAAAGAGGAAGTAAAGATGAATATATTTACTTGATACTTCAGGGAGTTTTGAGCAGTGGCCACACATTAGGCTTGTAATATTATCCTGAGTACATAGCAAAGGGGGTTGGGCTGTATTGAGACGTGTTTCTGCTACTTTCTGAAGTATCGTAATGCATCATGGCACTTCTTAGCTGCATGGCAGCTCAAAGTATATCCTTTTCTTAACCTCAGTTTATCCAACCTGGAAGTAATATGCCTAGGAAGATCGATCTAGATTAGAAACAACTGAATTGCCTGACACTGAATATGGATACACAGAATAAAAACATGACAGGGAGATACTGAATTGCTTTCCTCACTGCTAACTGCCTCAGTGCTGTTGTCGTCCTCTTGAGTCTCTAGTTTATCCAACCTGGAAGTAATATGCCTAGGAAGATCGATCTAGATTAGAAACAACTGAATTGCCTGACACTGTGAATATGGATACACAGAATAAAAACATGACAGGGAGATACTGAATTGCTTTCCTCACTGCTAACTGCCTCAGTGCTGTTGTCGTCCTCTTGAGTCTCTGAAAGGTCTGTGGCTTTTCTAGGTGAGTTTCATTTCTGACCTAAGTACTGAATTTCTGATTTCATCACAAGTTCTTTGGCTGCACTTTTTTTTTGCTATGAGGGCTTGTAAATATTGGTACCTTAGTCATTTTCTCAGGAATGCTCAATGCCTGTGAAACTTTAAAAACTAAAATATTTCTACCACTCATAGCAACCACTATTACATGGTCTTCGAGCTGCAAACATAGTTGGTCTCGTGTAACTTTGAGTTACTTTGACCGTAGACAGTCCTAGCTTTACCCAGAGTGGTCCTTCCTGGGAAATGAAATTCTTAGAGCACATCGGTGTTTCCACAGGGGAGTTTCACAAAGTTCTAATGTAGAATGGCATGACAGCCCCAATCTGCCGAAAGTTGAGGGGAGGTGATTCTGGGGTCAATTGATATAAATACGTTAGGAGATCTCTAGATACTGTTTCCCTCTTGGAGAGTCACGATGTATGCTGCATATTAACAGTCCCTACAAAGTCCTGCTATAAAGAAATCTGGTTAATATTTAAAAATTTAGCCTATCCACTGTTATTTGACACCATTGTTTTTCTTTTTTTTCTTAATATACCACCTAATGATAATCTCAAGGTTGACCGTTTTGCCTATACTTGGGTTGTTTTCTGTCATGATCTAGCTATTGGCAGCCATCTATATGGAAATAGACCTGAGCATAGACAATTGGAAGCTACTCATATCTTTGTCAGCCCATTCTATAATGGCTATAAGAAAAGCTCTTTATGAGCCTTTTATGGGGTATTTACGCTGTTTCAAATACACTATTAGTTTCATTTCTTTAGCACAGAAAAAACTCTTTCATTACTTAAGCAGTCTCTCCTCTGTGAGTACTTCTAGGCCTCAGATTAGAACTAGGACTGGTTGGTTGACTGTTGAGGAAATGAGTAGAAACAGAGCTTTTCATGACTGGGCTGTGGCCTGGATTGCAGTGCTCCAAGGATGTGGTGGCTGGGGTGAGCGATGTGCCCTGTGACGATTGCTCCACTTTGCCTGTGGCTTTGCTTGCCATGGCGGAGCTTGTGAATGGCTTGTGCTACCATTTCATTGTGAAGTGCTGTGTTTTGCATTCCTCCTTATGTGTTTGTTTGCTTTCTACAGTGATGGAGAAGGGAGAAAAAGGACCTCATCTACCTGCAGCAACGAGTCCCTAAATGCTGGAGGAACCCCTGTCACTCCTCGCCGAATCTCCTGGAGGCAGCGCATCTTCCTCAGGGTTGCTTCTCCCATGAACAAATCCTCGGCAATGCAGCAGGGTCCGTGTCCTGCCGGCTAAAGGGTTACTCCTTAGGAGTGCTGTCCATTTGGGAATGGGATGCAAATGCTTTGTGTCTAAAAAGATTTAAGTTATTACGGTGGAGAATAACTTCTCTTTCTGTATCTGATATAATGGTTTACTTGTCAGTATTGTTAGAATGCATTAGACATCCAGGACCTGCTTATTGAATGAATGAAGAAGTGACGAGCTTTCCAAACTTGCATTTAGACTTACTTCACATGCATGGGGAATTATGGTAATGCTAGAAAAGAAGTAAAAGATCTTTTTATTAAAAGAGCAGCTTTTGATCTCTTAAGTTCATTTTTTTCTTCCCTGAGACAGAAAGAGAAACACCCTCACCAGGGCCTTGACATCATGATCCATCCCGTCTCGGGCAGTCCCAGATCAGGGCACACACATGCTCAGGGAGGTCTCTGGATGCACACCTGGAACCAGCCCACGTGGGTCAGCTTTGCAGAGCATTGTGTTTTACCATTGCATCACCATCTGGCCCTGCAGCCTAGTCTTTTGCAAGAATCACACATAAAATTAAGTGACATAGAAGTGTTGAACAATTAAAGAAATGGATACAGTACACCAGGCAGACAGCAACCAAAAGAGACTATGGCTCTACCTTAGACCTTGTAAAGAAATTAAAACAAAAATGCCCCAAAGGGCAAAGTAAAGATAAGGGTCAACAAAAAGATACAACAATAATGAGAACACATATAATTACATATTCTTGAGAGCTAGAAAATAGCACTTAGAATTTTGGAGAGAAATAAAGAAGTAGCTCCTGTAAAGGATTTTAGCATATTTCTCTCTGAAACTTTAAATATAGAGGAAATTAAAGTAACACAAGTGCATAAGCTTCATCTAATATTTATACAGACCTTTGCCCTCTATAAAGAAAGCTCATTCATTTTTAGTATACTTGGCACATTCATAGAACTTAATTATGTGCTTGGCCACTGAGAGTTGGAAATAAATCCCAGACAACCATGATCATTTATACTAATGTATCTCTGACCACAGTACCAAAAGAAAGAAAGGATTAAAAGACAACTGGAAAATTTCTGTTTGGGAATTGAAAACTGAACAGTTAGAAACTGGAAGGGAGAAAATGAGATGAACAGAGCCCTATGTCAAAATTGTGTGAATTTGGAGGACGATTGATTTCCATGAATATATTCATCTAAAACTAAAGAGGCCAGGGGCCGGGAGGTGGCATGGTGATTAAGGCGCTGGACTTTCACATGGCCAATTGCAGTTCGAGTCCTGGATTTGGCAGTCTGCTTTTTTACTTTCTCTTTCTATCTCACTGTCTCTCTCTGGTCAAATTAAAAAATAATAACAACAACAAATAAAAATAAATAAATGTTTCTTTGGAAACAAACAAACAAACCAAGGAGGCCAAAGCTTAATTGTAGTGAAGTAAATTTTCAGCTCAAGAAGCTAAAAAAGAGCCACAGAGTAAAGGAAATAAGTAATAAAGATAAAGGTCAAGGAATATATATATATATATGTATGTATATAAACAATTGACATTATTAAAGATGAAATCAGATTCTCAGTGGCCAGAGAAAGCTTCGCAGAAAAATTAGATGGGGACCAGCAGGTAATGTAGTGGTTGAGGCGCTAGACTCCCATACAGTCAGCTAGGGTTTGAGTCCCGGACCCAGCAGCTTTCAACTCATACTGGATGCATATGTGTGTGTGACCAAACTCCTGAGAGGAGAATGCAGGAGAAGGGGTTGCAGAGTGAACTTTCCCTCTGGGGTGCGATTTTCTGCTTTCTGTTTCTCCAGCAAGCACACATGCCCTATAGCAAAAATATGTCAAAAAATAAAAAAGGAAAAGCAAAATTAGATATTTATTTAAACCTGTTGCTGAGAGAGTATGTTTCAGAGGGAATAGCAAAGTCCTAGAGTCATTTGTGAGATGTTTTCAGATGAGAGAATCATGAGACATTTAGCATGATGGATGCATAGGATGGGAAATTGAGACATGACGCTGAATGGGTACGTAAGGCCACAGGCTCAAGGGATGTGTGAGTGGACTTCATTGTGTTTGTGGAAAAATGGGATCAAAGTACAAGTTTATTTTGGTGCAAAATATTTTGCAATCCATGTATAGTTTTTTGCACAATACACATTTTTCTTGAACTTTTTGAAGATTCCTTCATATGTACTATTATAAGTAGTTTGGATTTTGTTCTTTGGGATGTAAGCAATCATTGAAATGTTTAGTTTTATTTATTTATTTTTTAATTGCTAGAAAGTATGTGCACTTTCCAAAGAGAGACAGAGACAGAGGAAGAAAGGAGAGGGAGAAAGCATCCCTCAGTGGCACGTGTCACACTGCAGTCCCTTCACCATTTCTCCATCCTATGGGGATTTTGGGCACAAACACACACATGTACCTACTGTGATTTTCAAGCCACCAGGGCCAGGATTTGAGCCATAGTTGGCCATGTGGAATATGGTTCCCTTAACTTCTAGACTCCAGGGCTGGCCTGGAGTATTTTAAGAGAGGTGATTGTGCGTGATAGTAGGACGTAATTGCAGTAATGTGACGGATGGCTTGAAATGGAGGGAGAGGAGGAGTTTTAGGAGATTGAGGAGTTGCGAGAGGCAAGAGCAGAGAGGCTGTGATGCTCGGCCAGTGAAGGTCCTGTGCTGCTCAGGTGCTGATCTCTGAGAGGATTCTGATCATCTGTGCAGACCTTAGGAGATCACTGGTGCCCACCCACTTCATCTTCTCATTTTGTACAGCGAGAGACTACACACAAATAAATTGCAGAAGTATCGGACTTTGGGGAAAGGCCAGCTCACTTTGGAGCACCTATCTTATAGGTCTTCTGTGTATAGAAAGAAGAAGTGGTGAAATGACATGCTTTTGTTTCCCTCTGAGAGGATTCTGATCATCTGTGCAGACCTTAGGAGATCACTGGTGCCCACCCACTTCATCTTCTCATTTTGTACAGCGAGAGACTACACACAAATAAATTGCAGAAGTATCGGACTTTGGGGAAAGGCCAGCTCACTTTGGAGCACCTATCTTATAGGTCTTCTGTGTATAGAAAGAAGAAGTGGTGAAATGACATGCTTTTGCTTCCCTACAAGAGGGAAATCTGGAAGGGGAATTCAGTCCAGTGAATGTACTTAAATCATTACTCACAGAAGCTAATCGTTACTGGGAAAGTGTTTTTTTGAAAACCTTTAAATATGGAAAAGAAAATGAGGGAGTGCCGACTCTAGAGAACACTGGTGTAGTCTGGGCTGCTCCTGAGGAATGCCTCTCACTGTGTTCTTCTCTGCAGATGGACTGGACAGGAATGAGCTATTACCACTGTCCCCTCTCACGCCGACCATGGAAGAGGAGCCTATGGTCATATTCCTGTCTGGTGATGATGACCATGAGAAGGTTGAAGAAAAAAAGAAATCGAAAGAGCTAAGGAGCTTGTGGAGAAAAGCTATACACCAACAAATCTTGTTGCTTCGAATGGAAAAAGAAAACCAGAAACTGGAAGGTTAGCTATTCCACCAGGGCTAAATAATATGATATTAATAAGGGTTGGGTTAAATACACACGCTGACAGTCATTGCTGGATGATTCTCTATATATACACTAATAGAGTATCTGCTGATTATAATTTTTCATTTCTTTTTGATGTGGTGGTTGTGACATGGGAAAGTTCAGATTAAGATATTTGCATTTTAAAAAAATAGATTTAAAATATCAGAAGCCCTTAGAGTATATTTGGACAGTACAGAGTGTAGATAATATAAGATCAATGTTTTTGATGTCACTAAAAGCTTAATATTGTGCATTACTTAAAAAAAAAGCCTTTAAATATGAAAAAACAAATTCTCTTTTTGAATATGATTTTCAATTTACGGGCTAATTATATCCATTCACAATGGGAGAAAACTGTTTGATACAAATTCTATTTGTATTGCATTCAGGTGAGCTATTTAATTATTATTTATAATTATAATATTAAATCAGAGTTCCTATTTCTGTTAATGCTTTGTAGGTTTTCTACTTAAAAATTATATTCAAATTATTACATTTATAAGTGAGGAATTTATAATAGCTATTATGCTTTTTCTGGTACTTTATTGCTAAGTTTATGAATACCGAATGTTTCAGAATGTGTTTTTCAGCCTTTGAAAGAATGATGTAATTTATCCTGTACTGAAAAAAAACACACACAAAGAGATGCCCAAACAGTATAAAAAAAATCCAAAAAGTGTATAGATGTCATTATCTTGGGCAAATCACTTAACCTAAGAGTCTCATTTTTACATCTATGAAATAAAAGGTTTAGCTTAAGTAAGTCCTTTGACTTTTAAAATTCTTGGCAAATGCACAATTTAGGTTTTTTTTTTTTTCTCACTTGCTTTTATTGTGTTATTCTCCTAAAAGCTTTTTTAATATAGGTATTTACATTTCTGAGTTTTTTATCTGAAGACTCCTCTTACTACACCTGCTATTCAATTCAGTTTTTATTTTATGGTTTAGCTTAAGTAAGTCCTTTGACTTTTAAAATTCTTGGCAAATGCACAATTTAGGTTTTTTTTTTTTCTCACTTGCTTTTATTGTGTTATTCTCCTAAAAGCTTTTTTAATATAGGTATTTACATTTCTGAGTTTTTTATCTGAAGACTCCTCTTACTACACCTGCTATTCAATTCAGTTTTTATTTTATTTTGTTTGTTTTGCAAGGGCATGATTTATTTTTTATTGCTTTAAGTAGAATGGAAAGTACATATAATTTTAAATACTTTTAAGAAATAATTTTTTTTAATTAAAAATTAAGTTTCTTATTATCAACATAGATTTAATAGCTTGGTGTGATAAATGGTAACCACTTGCGCTTTCTTAGATTTTAAATGGAAATAAATTACCTTTTTTTTTTTTTTTTTTAGCAATTGGTTACATTTCATAAATTAGAAAAGAGGTTACAAAAGATCATAATTTTCTTAAGAAACTTAAAACATGAAATTATATTTTGTTTGAGGATATGCACAGATAATATCTTATTTTAAATAGCAAAAGATAGTTTTAGAATCATTTATTATTGAACTGGAAACGCCCTTAGAAATTATTTAGCTAGATTCTTCATTCTACAACTGAGATAATGACTGGTTGGGACAGCAAAGAAATTAATCTAAAGTTAAACAGTGATATACTGGCAGAACTAGTACTAAAACTCAACTGTATTCCTCATGGTTCTTGAGCTTGTCCCAGTGTACCGGGGTATATCTCAACTCCGTGTGTTCATACAAGAAGATGGGGTGTTTAATGTAAAATAAGTGAATACATACGTGTCTTGAGGTCATGCTATGTAGTATTACAGTATAAGATGGGAGGTGACATTTAGAACATAATCTCAGAAACCTTTATTGGTTTTATATCTATTTTTGTACTAAAGGAACAGGCAAAACATTGCTTAACTTATTACAATTCTTGCCGTTTCTTCTTGTTTAGTTGAGAGCAGATATGAACAGTTCTTAATCACCATCATAATCATCCTCAGGGCCTGTGGATGGCACAGAGTAGGTGCCTATGATTTTAAATGAAAATGATTTGGAGAGGATTGATGAAAAAAAAAAAATCTGAGCAAGTAATATGCTTTGTTTCTCGTGAAGAAAATCTTCAGTAAAGGACTGTATTTATTGGGTTATCGAGAAAGTCAGGATGGATTTTGCATAGAAAAACGTAGGAAAAGGATGTCACGACTTTCCCAGCAACCTAATATGACTAGCTTTGCTAAGCCTACTTCTTTCTCCCACTGTACAGAAATGGAAAGCAGATGCTGGGGAACAAAGCTAACCTGTACTAGAAAGCCATCTAGTGGTATATATCAGGAATGATTTGAGAGAGGTGTTACCTAAAAGCAGGAATGATTTGAGAGTGGAGTTAGCTTTTGATCGAGTCTGGACTTTTAAGTAGGATTTTTTTGCTACCTTGCTTGAACAGCAGTCGATTAGAAGATGCTTCAATTCTTTTGCAATGGTTTAAAACATGCTAAATGAAGAGTAACATTCACTCTGCTGTTGTTTTTTGTGCTGTCGAGGACTTTGGATGCATGACCAAGATTTGTGTTGCAGAAGGTAAGGGGTTGAGCTCTGTGAGCCTGAGGGAACACAGATTATCCTGTTCACTGTGACCCTAGTAAAGAGGAGGGATGCGCTTACATGTCTGTTCTTTCTTTCTTCTCTTCTTTAGGAATCAGCTTTTCAGGATAAAGTCCAAATCTAGATAGTGGTTACTTTTGTAATAGGTTCGTTTGTTTGTTTGTTTGTTTTTCCATAGAGTGTGTGTGCTCGTTGAGAGAGACAGAGAGGGAAAGTGAGAGATCACCCAGGGGAATGACCATGCCATAGTCTCATCTCTTTCCTTCTTCTTTCCGGATCTTGGGCATGCATGCTCTTGTGCCCGGTGTGATCTTCAAGCTGCTGGGTCCAGGAGTTGGACCAAGGTTAGCCATGTGTGATTCTAGTGCCACTACCTGCTGGCTTCAGTAATAACATTTCGTTTAATGAGCACTGAATCTATATTTTAGACTATCAAATATGACAGAACTATATATTATTTAAATAGTGGAATTAGTATTAACTTCAGTGAAATGACTTTTCGTTTGTAAGATTTTTAAACAGGAGCACACAACTTACTATTGTTAAGGGCAGTATAGGTTACTCTAGAAGTGGTTATTAAAAATGTATAGGTTATAATGGTCAAATATGAGGGTAAATCTAAAAGCTTGTTGAAAAATATAATTAAAGTATAAGTTTATTTTGATGCTAAAGATTTCCAAAGTCACACATAGTTGTTTCATTTTATGCCTTTTCCATGAACTTTTGAAAACCCCCTTGTTTTTCTGAAATCAAGGTTAGCACAAGGCATTGTTTTCATGCATGTCAGGTATAAAATATTAAGACCTTAATGATGTTTAAGATGTGAGTTATCAGGCTAGCAGGTGGCATGGTGGTTGGGGTGTTGGATCTCACATGGCCAACTGTGTGGTTTGAGTCCTGGACCCTATGGCTTGAAAAACACAGTAGGTGTGTATGCATGCATGCCTAAGATCCTGAGAGAAGGGAAGAGAAGGGATTGCAGCATGACTATCTCCCCTAGGGAGTGATTTCTCATTCTCCCTCTCTGTCTCTCTGTCTCTCTCAAGCTAGCACACATGCCCTGTGTAAAAAACCTGAAAAAGAAAAAAAAAAGATGTGAGATGCTACTTCAGAGAAAATATATCACATTTGCACGCAAATTGACTTTTATAGCATAGCTAACATTTTTGTTTATGCTTAACACAGTTACTAATGTGTTCTACAGAGTAAAACCTCTTCAAGTTATTCTTCATATATTCTCACGCAAAATGACTCTAGTTGGAGAATCTTTCAAGTAGCATCACTTTCTTTTCAAAGTCCTCTTTTTGAGAAAATGTTGGTGGTTGATTTTTAAGTCACTTGGTGTGATTTTACAAGTACAATAAGATGTTGGAAATATGTTTTGAAAACATATTGGTCTCACATAATTTTTTTTTTCCTTAGCAAGCAGAGATGAACTCCAATCCAGAAAAGTTAAATTAGACTACGAAGAAGTTGGTGTTTGTCAGAAGGAGGTCTTGATAACCTGGGATAAGAAGTTGTTAAACTGCAGAGCTAAAATCAGATGTGATATGGAAGATATTCATACCTGTCTTAAAGAAGGTATTTGAGATCATCTCAATAATCTTGTTTTGTTTTAAGAAAAACCTCAGAGTTTTGTTTTTTAATTTGTGCAGCTAAGACATAATTTGATCTTTATGCTTTGCTTATAAAATAAGGGAATAAACTTTTTTCTTCCTGTAACATAGTGACTCAATTGATAAAATGGTACTAAAGAAGTTATTGTCCCCGAAAAGGAAGGAGACACCATTTTACACACTCTTCCCTGCTCAACCAGCTGTTTTCAGCTCTGTGTTGTTTATCAAGGAGGAATACATTGGTACAAATCTCTGGTTATTGCCATAAAAATGCCCTGAACTTACAAACTTGACTTATTTCCACCATTTGGTTGGAAGCATTTATTTACATATATGTGTGTATACACCTGTATGTTTGAATTTATATTCTGATTCAACAGTAATTCAGATTTCATTTCATCCATTCATTCCTTCATTTATTTTGGAGAAGTTGCTTTTATGTAGCCACATACTACATTTCTTGTTTTAGTGCAGCCATGCCATATAAAATATTTAAACATCTTAAATTTAAAATTAAAACAAATATTTTAGATGCAATTTCTGTGATAGATTAGAGTAAAATGAAAATCTTCATGACCTGCATAAACTACATGTAAAATAAAATTTCCAAAATACCCATTGAAATCCATAATTAATCTAGTTTTAAAAACTTAATGTATGAAATTGTTGTGCAGAGACGTTTAAATTAAGGTAAATTTTGTTTTGTAAAATGCTACATTTATAAGCCTAATCTGTTTGCTCAAAGTTTTGGGAATCCTGAAGATTTTTCATGAATATATTATTTGAGATACAAAATAGAGGTTAATGGAATGTGTGTGAGGTAGAGATCACATCATTCTTTTTTTTTTTTTTTTTTTTAGAACTTTTTGCTGTAGGGCACGTGTGCTTGCCAGACAGAGAGAGACAGAAAGTGAGAAATCACCCCCCAGGGGGGATGGCCACGCCGCAATCCCTTCTCCTCCATTCTCCTCTCGGGATTTTGGGCATGCATGCACATGTGCCCGGTGTGAGTTTTAAGCCACTGGGTTCGGGACACGAACCGCGGTCGACTATGTGGGAGTCCAGCGACATACCATTATGCTAACTGCTGGTCCCAAGATCACATCATTTTTAATATGAGTTTTTTATTTTTTTGAGATAGTTTTGCTATAGGGTGTGTGCACTCGCCAGACAGACAGACAGTAAAAGGAATAATGATAAATCACTCCCTAGGAGAGATAGTCACTCCACAATCGCTTCTCCTCCATTCTCTCGGGATTTTGGGCATGCATGCGCATGTGCCCGGTGTGAGTTTTAAGCCACTGGGTCGGGTACTCGAACCACAGTCGACTGCATGGAAGTCCAGCAACATAGCCATTACACCAACTGCTGGCTTCTCTTCAGTATGACTTTTAAAGGTTTTATTTTTTTTTAGGTTTTTGCCATAGGATGCATATGCTTGCCAGAGAGAGAGAGAAAGAGAGAGAGAGAGAGACAGACAGACAGACAGACAGACAGTAAAACCTTTAATGATAAATCACTCCCTAGGAGAGATAGTCACTCCACAATCCCTTCTCCTCCATTCTCCTGGGATTTTGGGCATGCCCTCACATACACCCAATATGAATCTCAAGCTGCCAAATCCAGAACTCGAACTGCAGGCAGTCATGTGGGAGTCTAGCACCTTAACCACCCCGCCACCTGCTGGCCCCTAAAGATATTTTAAGGGGTGCTCATCTTTCCAGCTGTGTGAACTTGGGCAAATTACTTAGATTCTTTCTACCTCAGCTCTGCCATCTGTAAAATGGGAATAAAAGTAATTACCCATAGGGTTGTTTTCTGGATGCGTGCACAATTCTCAGTAATTAGATACCCTCAACAAATGTGTCAGGTGCTCAGTCAGTGGGGGCTCATGTTCATATTGCCTTCATTATCATTCTGAGAGGGTTTTGTTCCCCAAGATGTCAGCAGCTACAGGATTCGACTTGTCAGGATACGCTTCTCAGTACGTGGTACTCTGTGATCTTAGGGGGAGTGTGGTACGGTACAGCTGCCTGTTTTCAAGTATTTGTAGACAGTTCGTCAGCGGTGATGAAGCAACTTCGTTCTGGAGGTCCAGCCCATGCATTTTTATCTCTGTGATTGTAGGAGTTCCCAAAAGTCGACGAGGAGAAATCTGGCAGTTCCTAGCTCTGCAGCATCGCCTGAGACACAGATTGCCGAATAAACAGCAGCCTCCTGACATGTCCTATAAAGAACTCTTAAAGCAACTCACCGCCCAGCAGCACGCCATTCTCGTGGACTTGGGTATGTTGGTCGTATTGGTTGTAACCTACAGGAGTACACACTCTTTTTGCTGAGGTTTTTATTTTTGGTTTGCTGTTCTGGGTGTTGATGAAGAAGCTCTGCTGCATATGCCAGGCTACTGACTGTCCTCCTCTGGGGGAACATTGGCCTAATAGCGGATGAAAAACACCATAAATGCCAGAGCATGAAATGAATTTTTCAGCTCAAAACTTTCCCTCATATGAATGATTATAACGGTCATATTTTGGGGTACCCTCGTTTAGTGTATTTTGAACAAGTGACTTATTTAGAGAGATGGCTTTATCTTTTTTGTTTTGTTTTCTTATTGTTAGCGAGCTTATGCACTCACCAGAGATAAGAGAGAGAAAGAGAGACAGAGGGAGAAAGAGAGAGAGAGTGAGCACTCTGATAGGATATCTCCGTCATTGCTCCATCCTGTCAGGACATTGAGCACGCATATACATGCATCCGGCATGCTTTCAAGTCACTGTGGCCAGGATTCAAACCATGGTTAGTCATGTGGGGTCCAACTCCCTTACCCACTAGGCTATGGAGCTAGTTGGATGATTATATCTTAATGCTGATTTTGAAACAATTGAGAATAGCTTAAAAATTGTAACAAAAGTATACGAAATTGTATTAAGTATTCCTAATATATTGATGAAAACAAGTCTTAAATATCACTTTCAAAAGCAATCCAGTAAGTGGTTATGTTGTGGAAATCATGATTACATACCTGTAGCGTGAATGAAAAATTAGCTGTCCTAATGTTACAGGAATGGGTACCTATGACCTGGAGGGAGGGTTATGACAGCATCATAAAGCAGTCTTTTTCACTACTGAATTTCGAATAACTTATGGAAGGTAAAAATGGTATCGTTTAAAACATTTTATCATTTGTAGGCTAGATGGTGGTTCAATGGTGGTGTGGATGGACCCTCATGGAACAGATCCTGAGTTTACGTTCCAGGACCTCCCTGGGTGTGCTGGGCAAACAAGCCTATGTCTGTGATCTAGACCACTTGGAGTTGGGGGTGGACCATAGTGTGGGGATCCTGCAGGGGGTGCCTGTGTCTTTTTCTCAAAGAAAAAAAACTTTTGTCTTTAATTTTTCTCTAAATTAACCTACTTTGCTAATATCTTAAAGTTTCTTTCATGAGATACACACAGAAAGAGAAAGGCACTCTCAACAGGTCTTACTGTGGTCCCCTCCAGCCTCTCCCAGTCATTCATGATTGCAGGCTCAACACACAGGTCAGGCTGGGAACTGAACCCCATATGGGTCCCAGTACTGCTGAGCTTTGCACTGTCACTGCATGACCTTGGCTGAACCTAGTCTTTCAAAACATCTCAACTATTGGGACGAGCAGATGGCATAATGGTACATTGCTAGAATCCCACGTAGTTAACCACGGTTTGAGTCCAGCTTAAACTCACACTGGGCTCATGTGTGTGCTTAAGATCCCAAGAGGAGAAAGGAGGAGAAGGGATTGCAGCCCCGGCCATCCCCCTAGCCCCTGATTTCTTGCTTTCTGTCTCTCTGATGAGCACATGTGCCCTATAGCAAAAATCTCTCTCAAAAAAAATGTAAACGACTCTATTAGATATTATACATTGACATTGACTGTTTTCATCTGTATTCCTAAAAACTGATATATTTCAGGTGATCAGGTAGTGTTATTTGTGCCCACTTGGTCAAAAAAAGATTACCTGTATTTAGAGTTATCTTCCATTGGGGGGGTATGTGTGTATATATATACATACACACACACATATATATACATACACATATATATGTATATATATATATTCATACACACACATATATATACATACACACATATATGTATATATATTCATACACACACACACATATATATGTATTATGTGTGTGTGTATATATATATATATATACACACACACACACACACACACACACACACACATAAATCACTGGCCAAAATCTAGTTTCTACCTCTGTTCCTGTTGAATGACAAACACCTTCTGTTGATGCTGTCATAAAACTAAGTATTTTTCCAGCCCAGTGACTTAAAAAGAGACTTTTATGGAGTCACTAAAGCTTAAATTCTGGTCCTGATTCTGCTACTAATTGTTATCTTAGACAAATTACTTTCAAGTCTTGATCCTCCCTATAAAAAGGGGACATTGAACTAGCTAATCCCTAGGGCTGCTTGCAGGTCTGTGGTTCTGTGACCATAACTTGGAGAAGCGATCAGGGTTAGTCAAGATGTCTAATAAAGAGAGGGCAAGGATGAGGTCACAGGACGGGCTAGTCAACAAGAATGGAGCAATTGATAGAATCGAGTTCTTGGATAGATAATGTATTGATGGCTTTTCTTTAGCAAAAGTGTTAAGAAAGTAAAATCATTTTTACGGTTGTTTTTTACTTGACTTTTTCATCTATGTTTCTTCAGTATGTTCTTTTCTCATATTTTTCCACTATTTACTCCTCAGAATTAATTTTAACCATCCCTGGGAGAAAATCACTCTTGTGCATATGTGTTAGAAAATGTGATCTGTCTCATGGAATGTTGGTTTTTATATTAATTCAAGTTTGCCTTGATTTATTGTCAGAAATGTTATATTCTATTCTCCTGGAACCTCTCCTGGATAGCTCATTGATTCGTTTATAGATTTATATTTTCTTATTTCTAGAAAGATGTGCTGGTTAGCTTAAAATGTTTGCTCCTATATCACATATGTGGGGATAAGGTGGTAGTCCAGTAGGTAGAACTGGGGACTTACAAGAAACAGACAGAAAGTGAAAGACTGACTTTAAGCGCTCCTAGTGAGATAGATACTCTAAGCAGTGCCGTCTGAAAAAAACGTTCATTAGTGAAGGTCACTGAATTGTGATTTTACTCTGGTCTCCAAGGCATCAGGGCGTCTCAGAAATATTTCTCTTATTTTCCTCTGCAGGAAGGACATTTCCTACTCACCCTTACTTTTCAGTACAGCTTGGGGCAGGGCAGCTGTCACTCTTTAACCTCCTGAAAGCGTATTCTCTGCTGGACAAGGAAGTGGGCTACTGTCAGGGGATCAGCTTTGTGGCTGGCGTCCTGCTTCTGCACATGAGTGAAGAGCAAGCCTTCGAGATGCTGAAATTCCTCATGTATGACCTGGGCTTCCGCAAGCAGTACAGACCCGACATGATGTCACTACAGGTGAGGCGACCTTCTCCACCTGGAATGCAAACGACCGTCACCAGAAGTAGTAGCCCTCTTCTAAATTACTTCCAGATTATTAAAATGGACCCATTGACTTGGGATGTGGGTCCAAATAAGGCCCATGCATTAGTTCACTGTTTTAGGGTACGACTTGGGATTTGGCTAGACCTGTAAGCGTGAGAGACCTGAGGTAGAATAACTTTCATGCAAAAGGATTTATTTTCATAAAAGCACTGTAAGAAAGGGAGGTGGCGGGCACTTAGGTTTTTATCCCTGAAGTCTACAGGTTCCGTGGAGAAAGTATCCAGTCAACTTTATTCACTTTTCCTCATCTCGTCAGCTGAAAAGGATCATAGATCTTTTGTTTAAAATCTGAAAATATATTAAGATTTTTTGGTGTGTGAAGTGAGGTATTCCCTGTCACTGCCATCTTTAACCTATTTTGAACTCTGTGCTTACACATTTTTCACTTCTAGTTCATCACTTTCTTAAATTTCTAACAAGCAGTTTTAATATTGTCTATAGTTATGATATCTAAAAGAAGGCACTGCTTTGCAATGGAAAGCTTTCAGGGTAAAGTATGAAGGAAGACTTTAATGAGAGGACTGTCAGGGTTCTCTTCCTTGGAAATAGGTCCACATTGGGACCCGCATGTGGTGTGGTGGTTCAGGTGCTAGACTCTCACATGGCAGACTGTGGTTTGAGTCCCAGATCTGGCAGCTTGATTTCTCAATTTCCCTCTCTCTCTGTCTCTGGTGAGCACATGCCCTATAACAAACATAATCATAATAATAATAAATCAAATAATAATTTAAAAAGAAATAGGTCCGTATGACTCCTAGTTAGTTGTAATTCTAATAAAAGAAGTAAGATACTTTAAAAATGTTTTTAAAATACTTTTTTCTTCCTGGTTCTCAGTGATCAGTTTTTCCATTTCATATTTCAGTTGCCAGTTGATAGGCAAAAAGAACTGTGTTTTTATACTCAACTATTATTGTGAAAGGTATTTCTAGAGTGAAAGTGGAGAGGAAGGGATCCATTCTTCTTTACGTCCTTGAGATGAAATTTTGGCTATGGATATAGGACTTGGCTCTGAACATTGAGTTTTCTGGTGTGAGTTTATGTGGAGAGTTCACTGGGACACAAAATTACAATGAATGGATTCCTAGCTGGTAACTATTCATAGATCTGTTTAACTAGTCAAATCATGGCTGTGGAAGTTTTATTTTTCACTTTATTTCTAAACAGCTTAGAGAGGCAACTATATATTGGATTTAAAACATGGGCACTCTTCTAAGTAGTTAAGGAGCTCTAATTTTCAGAATCAACATTTTTGGTGTTGAAATTCATTAGAATTTTAAAGAATGGGGACTGGCAGGTGGTATGGTGGTTAAGGCTGCTAGACTCCCACATGGCCAACTGCAGTTCAAGTCTCAGACCTGTCGGCTCACTTTCTCATTTTCCCTTTCTCTCTCTCTCTCTCTCCACCCCTCTGGTTGAATTAAAATACATAAATAAGTAGATAAATAAATAAAGTTAAATAAAATGATTTAAAAAAAAATTTTCAAAGAATGGAAAGTACCTGTGATTAGTGTACGATTATGGACCATAGATAGAAAAATACAGCTATTGGTTTAAAAGTGCAATGATTTTTTAAAAAGTGTATTTATTATTATTTTTAAAAATTTGCTATGGGCCACATGCACTCATGAGAGAGGGAGAAAGAGAGAGAGAGCAAGAGTGAGAAAGTAAGCCGCCAGGTCCAGAACTCGAGCTGTAGTTAGCCATATGGGAAGTCCAGCACCTTAACCACCACACCATCTACTGACCCCAAAATGCAATGATTTTTATTCAATATTTGACATTACAAAAATGTATGCAAAATAGATTATACATTAATTTAATATGGCTTGCAGTTACCAAAAATTTTTGCTATAGGGTACATGTGCTCATCAGAGAGACAGACAGACAGAAAGCCAGAAATCATCCCCCAGGGAGGATGGCTACATGCAGTCCCTTCTCTGTTCTCCTCCTGGGATCTTGGGCATGCACGTACATGCATCTGGTCTAAGTTTCAAGCCACTGGTTCTGGGACTTGAACCAAAGTCGACTATGTGGGAGTCCATCGATGTAACCATTCTGCCATCTGCTGGTCCCAAGTGATATTACTTTTGTTATTTGTTGAATGTATGTGAATTGTTATTAAATATCAAAGTTAGTGTATTTTATGCATACTCAAATAAATGCATAATGTTTTACTTTTCATCTCCCAATTAACTTTAGATTCAAATGTACCAGCTGTCCAGGCTCCTTCATGACTACCACAGAGACCTCTACAATCACCTTGAAGAAAATGAAATCAGCCCCAGTCTTTATGCTGCCCCCTGGTTCCTCACATTGTTCGCCTCTCAATTTCCATTAGGATTTGTAGCCAGAGTTTTTGGTAAGAAATGCCTGTGATTAAAAGAAATAGTGTTATTTATTCCAAGAAATAGACCTCAAGCCCTATGGTGCCCTGATTGTTTTATCGTGTCTTACACCGAATAACAAGTTCTAGTGGAATTTAACAAACGTGCCTAGCCCTATTCTGATAGTAATTTAAACCCATATTGGTCCAAAGAAAAATGGAAAGAAAAAGAAGAATTGGACTTTTGTGTTTGAATAAGCTATAAGAAACCTCTTACTTTACTTTGTACCTAAAATAATATACTTTTTATTCCTTTTTTTTTTAATCTAGACTGAGGACTTTGTATAATTTTCTAGATTTTCATACACATCTTTCCTATCCCTGCTTTTTTTGTTTGTTTGTTTGTTTGTTTTTTCTCTTTTCCTTTTGGATTCTTAAACCTGGATTCAAAACACAGAGGAGCATCTTCTCTGATTAAATCAACGGAAATACTTAACTCAGTGTTACTTCTAATGGCATTTCTTGATCCGATGTTCTGTTGTTTAATCCCTGTCCCATTGTTTATGTACTCTCAATGCAGTGGTGGTAGCCAGTATCTAAGACCAGTGACTCAGGAAAACACAAGCACAGGTGGTCAAGCCAGTGGCAAGTTGCTGAGCACCTGTCTTATGCCAATCACAGTGTTAGACTCTGGAAATAAAGAGTGATGTGGTTTATGCTCCTTTGGGAGCCCTTAAATCTATTCACAAGTCTTTAGTGAGGTTTGTTAAGTGGATTATTTAAAAAGAAAAAAATTAAGGAGAAAAGATATCAACTTTCCCTAGAGTTTCATTCTTAGGCTGTCATGTTGGACCTCAACAGCTTCAGGAAGGCTCCCAGAATTTTTCTGTCCTGCTCATCTATCTGGTATCCAGGGTCAAAGTCATCAGTATTCATTCACAACTGTGCTTTTGCTAAACTGGAGATTTTAGACAAATTGTATTGGTCCTATTGTGGGTCATTGCCAGAATAGAAACTAGAATAGAATACAGTAAAAGTATCAGAGAAAATTACAAATAGCAAGGAAAAATATTTGGAGAAATGTGTGTGCATATATATATATATATTTTTTTTTTTGAAAATATATATGTAAAATGTATGCAGATACTACAGTGTACAGTATCTTTTTTTTTTTTTAATTTTTTCGCTATAGGGCGCATGCGCTCATCAGAGGGACAGAGAGAGACAAAGAAAGAAAACGAGAAATCACCCCCCAGGGGGGATGGCCACGCCATAATCCCTTCTCCTCCAGTCTCCTCTCAGGTCTTGGGCACTCTTGCACATGCGCCTGGTGTGAGTTTAAGCCACTGGGTCCTAGGCTCGAACCGCGGTCAACTACATGGGAGTTCAGCGACATAGCCATTACGCTAACTGCTGGTCCCAGTGTACAGTGTCTTATTGGGGGCTGTGGTTTAAAATTTTAACACGCTGTTAGTGGTAATACATTTTGCAGACAAAGCATAGCTAAAAGAGTGAAATCAAGTGTGTTAAATTCAGTGTTCGCCTGATTTCTCTGATGTATTGAGTATACTTGATAACTTTTTTCCTGTGAGGTATTTTCAGGAGCTTGGGTTCCTAGAGTCTTATAGAAAATCCTTTTATTTGTTTATACATTTGTGTATATTTCTCTTCTCAGAGAACAGTTTATCAAATCAAAATGATGTTTCTGGGCATCATTGCCTCTTGCTATGAAGATATGAATGATGCTGTCAGCTATATGATAGCTGCCCAATCCCTTTGAATTTATTAAAGATTAGTGTCTGTCAGAAAAGGGAAGATGCATGAACAAGAAGACTGACCATGTTTAAAGTAATGCTTTCATGTTTCCACTTTGGCAAGGACCCCCATTATATTATAGATGAAAGAAACGGAATTGGCAGAAACCTTCACACAAAAATATTTAATAATTTTCAAAACTTTTGCATGTTTGTATTTGTAAGGAAACAGATCAGATTTAGGGTAGCTTTTTTTTTTTTTGAGAGTTTTTTTGCTAGAGGGTGCATGTGCTCTCCAGAAAAACAGAGACAGAGAGACAGAAAGCCACACATCAGCCACCTGGGTAGATGGCCATGCTGCAACCCCTTCTCCTCCATTCTCCTCTTGGGATCTTGGGCATGCACGCACATGCGCCTGGCATGACTTTAACCCACTAGGTCCGGGACTCAAACTGCTGTTGACTACATGGGAGTTCAGCAACATAGCTGTTACGCTAACTGCTGGTCCCTTCTTTTTCTTTTCTTACTTAGGTTATCTGTTTATTATTTTTTTTTCTTCAAAGGTTTTTTAAAAGTTTATTTATTTATTTCACGAGAGAGAGAGACAGAGAGACAGCACCCCCAATAGGTAGACACACTGCTACCCATCCCCAGCTTCAGCCAGCCTGGGATCATGGGCATGGATGTTCCTGGAATTCTCAAGGTAGTGTCCAGATGCAAATCAGGAACCTTCCAATGGGGGTCAGCCTTGTAGAATGTTGCATTTTTCCAGTGTACCACTGTCAAGTTCCCAATGTAAATTTTTAAAAAAATTTCCTGGTCTCTTATAGATTTAGTTACATATTAATTGGTTCATGTACTTTTAAAATGGTAATGAGGGGGTTAGCAGGTGATGTAGTGGTTAAGGCACTAGACTCCCACATGGCTGAGTATGGTTCGAGTCCCAGACCTGGTAGCTTGAATCATGTCAGGTGCACACGTGTGCATGCCCAAAATTCTGAGAGAATGGAGAAGGGATTGTGATGTGGCCATCCACTCTGAAGGGTATTTCTCACTTTCCATCTCTTTTTTTCTGGAGAGTGCATGTGCCTTATTGCAAAAATCTCTCTCTCTCTCAGAAAAAAAAAAAAAATGGTAATGAGAGTTTGAATACTACTGATTGGGAAGAGTAATCTTCAGTATCAGTGGATATTTAGTGACTATGAGATTTACCTAATATCCATGAAATTTGCCATGAAAATTATAAATAATACCTAGACGAACTCATACTTTCTTCTTCTTCTTCTTCTTTTTTTTTTTGCTGTGGTCTTCTCTGAGATTTCTAATAAGTAAAGGGGAATTTTTAAACATCTGCCTGTTTCAGTCATATTAATGTGTTTTTGAAAAGGTAGGTGGTTTTGACCAGTTATGTTTTGCAAAATATTCTCTGGGCCTGCTGTAGTAGTAAATCAACCTTTAGCACAAAGAATATGCTTTTTACAATAATAGATGCATAATTTTGATCATGAAAATTTTATCTCTTCTTTTAGATATTATTTTTCTTCAGGGAACTGAAGTTATATTTAAGGTTGCACTCAGCTTACTGAGCAGCCAGGAGACACTTATAATGGAATGTGAAAACTTTGAAAATATTGTTGAATTTCTTAAAAGCACGCTACCTGATATGAATACTTCTGAAATGGAAAAAATTATTACCCAGGTATGATTTAAGTAATAGTAAGACATAGGATTATATAGTAATTTATCTACTGATTATATGAGTATTTTAGCATGAAAATGTGTTTTTGCTTGATCAGTTTAATTTATCTTTGAATTTTTATTTCTTTAATCTCATACATTTTATTTAGAAATGAGACTATTGTGAAATGTCTCCATTGTGACGCTATCTGGCTATGCAAAGGAAATGTGGTTTATATTACATAATGAATTTTCCAGGAATGTTTTCAATTTAAACCAGTGCCAAGTCTGAAGATAGAATCGTCAGAGTTAGGAAGACTTGGGAATAAAATGAAACCCACTTATAATTCAGCAGATTTCAAAAAGTTCATTGACAATTGGAATTAAAGCATGAGTTTATTTCGGTGCAAAGTGTTCGAAAGCCATGTATAATCTTTTTCATGATATATGTTTTCCAAAAAATTTTTGAAGACCTTTGTACAAATACAGATAGATGCTCTTTAACTTATAATGAGGTTTTGTCCCAATGAGCCCATCTTAAGTTGAAAATACCGTTACGTTGAAATGCATTTGATACACCTTACCTACCAGATATCGAAGCTTAGTCTCGCCCATCTTAAACGTGCTCACAACACTCATGTTAGCCTAAAGTCAGGCAAAATCATCTAACACAAGCCTATTTTATAATACAGTAGTGAATACTTTATGGGATACATTAATTACTGTACTGAAAGTAAGAAACAGAATGCAGTTATGTTAAGCCGAAGCCAGTGTCACTTCATAAAAACAAAAAAACCGTAGCTTACACCATTGTAAAATCAAGAAATCTTGAATTATCCTACGTTGAGGACCATCTTGTTTATTCTGTTATAAAATAAACAAGGAGGTCACACGGCGAGGACACAGGCTTTGGAATTACGTGGTATTGGGTCTATAACTTCTTCTAGCTCTTTTATGAGTTGTTTGACTTGCCCATGATACCCTTCTCTTCTGAACTCTAGTTTTCTCAGCTCCAAAATGGGATAATTCTGATCTGAGAGGTTTTCTGAAGCTTACGTGAGGAGACTTGATGTATCAGTTAGGGTCTCTGCAGGAAACCATCTCCCTCTGGTGATTCAAATGAAGGATCCAGTTACAGAAATGTTGGCAGTGTTTAGAGAATCCAACGAAGATGTCCAGGTGCTCAGGAATTAGCATCAGAAGGAAGCCGTTCCTACCTCTGTACTGAGGGCACATGGAAGATAAGATAATATTACCAAGCCCAGTGAGAGCCAGAACCATGGAAGAGGGGTCTCTGGTGGCCATTGTACTTTTTGTGAAATAAGCAGTAAAGGAACATAAAGAAATACCCCAACCTTTTTCTCCTGCCCCATCTGATCTCCTGCTAAATCCTTCCTCGGATTGACTGAAGCCAACTAGAGAGTAAGTGTGGAGAATACACAAGCCAGGGATCTGCCCAGCAGAATGGCGAAGGCAGAGAAGGGATCTGGGAATCAAGTGGAGAGTAATCTGCACATTCTCTGTTGGGTCCTTAGTTCGTCATAGGGAGTTGAGGTTAAATATTGAGCTAGTTAGATAATATGAAACACTTAAGACGAGCTTTGTGGATAAGGCCGTCATGCTGGAAACATGGGTAAGCAGAAAGAAGACAGAGTCTAGAGCAAGAGGAGGAGAGTTTGAAATCTTGTTCTGGGCCCTGCTCCTTCTAGCTGTGTGACTTTGGACAAGATGCAACCTCTCTGAGTCTCCTACAAAATGGGAATAACAAAAATAGCTCATATTATATTTTTATACTATTTTTAAATAATTATAATCAATAAAGTTTTTTTAAAAGCACACAATATTCATGCTATGAGTTCATATTGTCACATATCAAATTTTCTTTCCATTACGTGGAATCTAAGTCAGAAGCAGATTGTGCTGTAAATCCCTACAGATTTTTTTTTTTTGGTGTGGTTGTTAAAATACTCTGTAAGCTAAAATATATAGCTTTTATTTACATATTTACTTTTTTCCATGGTCTTTAGAAGTACAAGGAAACTTTAGAAAGTTTGTGGGGAAATGGAATAATAATATGAGTTTATATTTTGGTGCAAAAAAATGAAGTCCATGCATAGTTTTTTAGAATACACTTTTTCCTTGAATTTTTTGAAGGCCCCTTATTGTTTTCTTGTTTTGTTTAGTTTTGTTTTTTGACTGGTAAGGAAGAGAGATTGTGCTTTTAGAGATTGGACTGCAGATATCACCTCTGTTCTAAAATTAATGAGGAAATTGGTAGCTTTACAGATTACTGTAAGATAAATGGGTAGAATTTATAGGCAAGTAGATTTTTTTCTTTCCTCTTTTTTTTTTTTTTCTGCTATGGGGTGAGTGTGCTCACTGGAGAGAGACAGCGACAGTTAGAGAGGAAGTGAGAAATTACCCTCCAGGGGAGAGCCATGCCACAATCCTTTCTCTTCCATTTTCCTCCTGGGATTTTGAACACACACACATGTGCTCAGCATGATTTTCAAGCTGCCAGGTCCGGGACTTGAACCAGGTCCAGGACTTGGCTGCCAGGTCAGCCATGTGGGAGTCTAGCACCTTAGCCACCACTTCATCTTCTGGCTGCTAAACAGGTAGATTTTTGACTTAATATTAGAATTTCCTAGCAATTAGAGTTGATTAACTATGGAATGAGCTGCTTATACTAAAGGAAACTTTGATGAGCTTTTTGTACGGACACTAAAAAATGCAAACAGTGCAGAAAAGCACAATAAAGAAAACAAATCACGACAACTAGAGATGATAAGCTTTGAGACTACCTATTACACGACTCTTTGCTTATGTACACATATAAATATGTATAGTTTTTATATAAATCGAATCATATGCTCTGTTATTATGCAACCTGATATTTAATAAAAACATATGTAGAATATCTGACATTGTCCATGTCAGTAAATACAGACCTATTTCATCATTTTTATAGTTGTATAATAGACTATGATGTCAATACTCACTAGGTAAGGAGAAAGATGATATTGTCTCAGTAGGATAACCAGTTATTCTAGAAATTTTCTGAAATTTCTGATATTTGAGGGAGGTTTTTGTTATAGGGTGCGTGTGCTTGCTGGAGAGACAGAGACAGAAATCAAGAAATCATTCCCTAAGAGGGATGGCCACACTGCAGTCTCTTCTCCTCCAGCCTCCTCTGGGGATTTTGGGCACGCACACACCCATGTCCAGCATGAATTTCAAGCTGCCAGGTCATGGACTCAAACCACAGTCGACTATGTGGGAGTCAAGCCATGTAACCATTATACCATCAGCTGACCCCAGCAAGTCAGATTTTTTATGGTTTCTTTTCTCTCAGTAGCATTACTGTTACCGTCATTGTATAATGGCGGCTGTTGTATCACCTTCCTCCTAGCAAGTTTAAACTGCAGAGGGGTGATCAGTAACTTCTTAACAAACTGCCTTTTTATTTGAGGGTAATATGGGGGTGCAGTGGCAGCCCTAATTAGCCTTACAGCTCTAGGCAGTGCTCAGGGTGAGCAATTTTGAAGCCTCTCTGTGAGGTAGAATATGTAAATGACTCCTAAGATGCTCACATGCAATAGAAAATGGATGCATACATTTATTAAGACCTCTCTGCCCCACTGACAAATTCATTAGAAATTCTTTTTTGGTCTTTTTATTATGGAAATGCCCTGTGCAATTTTGCTTACGAATCAGCTAAGATAATATCTAACTTAGGTAATAATTACCCAATAACTAATGTTGTTTATCTGATATGCTACATTTGGGAAGATGAATACTAGATTATGAATATCTTGGTTGCAGTTTTTAATACCCTTAGGCATTAATTCATTCTAGTGACTTGGCCTTATTATGAAAGTGTTTCAAGTGCATAGAAATAATCTATCTGTTTTGATATTGGCAGTGTAATGTGTATCTGATTTCTTCCTTTGTGGACGGTCATACCTGTTATTTTTTCCTTTCTGTGTTCCTCATTAATAAGTCTGTGGAAATGTATTGGAATATTCCAGAATTCATAGACCATATTTTGGTATACATTCCAAAGTCCAAACTAAGCCACAGTGTTTTCCTGGCAGGTTTTTGAGATGGATATTTCTAAACAATTACATGCCTATGAGGTGGAGTATCACGTGCTACAGGACGAGCTTCAGGAATCTTCGTATGCCTGTGAAGATAGTGAGCCCATAGAGAAGCTGGAGAGGGCCAACAGCCACCTGAAAAGACAAAACATGGACCTCCTAGAGAAATTACAGGTAAAGGCATCGAGATTTGATGAGGAGAAATTGATATCTGAGTGCCTCCTGCATGCATAGAACTGTATCAGGAATGATAGGAGTATGTGTCTGAATTGACTCCTGGCTGACCAAGGCCTGTGGATCAGACTATATTCAAGTGCCTGGGAGATATTGAGTCCTCCGAACAGTTGTGACGCATTTTTCTATGTTTTTCTATGCAAAAATGCATCATGACTTTTCTGATGACCCAGTATAAATACACTTAATACATTTAAATATCACGTGAGGAGAGAAAATGTACATTCACAAAGTAGTTAAATGGCAGTCCAAAGCAGAATCTGGTTTGGGCTAGTCTGTGGCATGGTGGCTAATGTGGCTGGATCCCACATGGCCAATTGTGCAGTTTTGAGTCCCAACCTGGCAACCATGAAAAACATACCAGGTATACATGTGTGTGTGCCCAAAATCCTGACAGGAGGGAGAGATGGAGGAGAAGGTGTGACCATTCCCCGTGGTGGGTGCTTGCTGGCATTTTCCTTCTCTTTCTTTGGTGAGTACCTGTATACTCTGGCAAGTTTAAAAGAAGGAGAATCTGGTGAAGTTTCTACTGGGTGTTGTACATATTCAGTTGCACTCTGGCAATTTTAAAAGGAGAATCTGGTGTAGTTTCTACTGGGTGTTGTACATATTCAGTTGAGTTCAAGGGAGCAATTGAATATGGGAAAGTGGGAAAGTTGTGGGGGAACTGGGCTTGAGCTATTTTGAGGGTTGCTGAAGCTAGTAAGTGAGGAGAGTCTTTAAGCTGAGTGGGCAAGGGAGCGGCACCGACAAGGATGTGGCCAAGCAGTGATTGGCTTGGTGTGTCACTTGGAGATTTAAATTGTGGGAAGTAGCACTAAAAAAAAGAGAAAGGCAGAATTGTAGGTGACTTTCCATCAAGAGACTCAAAAAGAATGACTTTAATCCTGTCAAGAGGAAAATCTCTCAAAAGATTTTAAATTGTGCTTTAGATCAATCTGGAAGCCATGATTGTCAGAATAGGATGGGGAGAGAAGGTAAGGAGGCCAGTGAGAGATATATGCAAAAACTTGATTGGGGATGATGATAATTGTGTAGAGGAAAAGAGACAGAAAGAGAAGGAGACATTTCTGCATGAATTAAGTGAAAACATGTAATGGGGGAGGCAGGTAGTGAGGTGGTTGAGGGCACTCGACTCCCACATGATCGACTGAGGTTTAAGTCCTGGGCCTGGCTGCTTGTTTTCTTGCCTTTCTTCTCCCTCTCTTTCTCTCTGTCTCTCTCTCTCCCTCTACCCTTCTCTGGCCAAAGTTAAATAAATAAATAAGGTTAAATAATTCTTTTAAAAAGATGTAACATATTGTCCGTGTAATCAAAGAGTTTACAGTTACTTGGGAATATGAAATATTGTTTATTTGACCTCGCTCTCATAAGAGCAGGCTGATGCTAAGCCATTGTACATATGTAGACTGGTTTTTGTTGCTCACTATGTACAAATGCATTAAGCAGTTTATTATAGAGTAATATTGTGAATCTTTTTTTTAATAATTATTTTATTTTTACTTTGTTTATTATTATTGTTACTTTCCAGTTTGATCAGACAGACACAAGGAGATAGGGAAAGTGAGAAAGCAAGCCACCAGATTCAGGACTTGAACCACAGTCGGCCATGTGGGAGTCCAGTGCCTTTAATCACCACGCCACCTGCCAGCCCCAACATTCTGAATCTTTATCTTACCTGATGTGCGCTGCATATTCAAGCCCTGGGGATGTGGCTTAAGCTTGTCAGGGAAGGGGAAATCAGCTCTGAGTCAGAAATTAAATGCTTCCAGGCACTTTGGTTTCTACTTATACCCTCCCCACCTCCCTAACACCACACCTGCCTCCAAACTAGAAAACTTGAAATCTCTGCTTTCATGTGATCTCCTGTCAAGACCAGCTAGGAGAGAAATAGGTTAGGTGGGGTGAGGGGTATGGGTTCTCTAAAGTAGTCACTCCCTAAGAAAAGGAGCCCGTACCTGTCTTCATTTTGTCGGACATTAATGCTTCCTCACAGAACATTTTCTCTTTCCTACTCATGAAATAGACAACTTAGTCTGTTTTCAAAAAGATAAACAGCCGATATGCTTTATTACTTGCAATTTCCATGCTAAGTTGAAACATTTCCTAATTAGGGAAGGTAGGTGTGCTCCTGTTTTACTGTTATCATGATTCTTGATGGTTACAGGCTTTTTCACTGACAGTTCAGTGTTGTCATCATCAAGTTACTTGGGCACCCCTCAGGCACACATAGAAACTGACAGAATTCTCCCAAATATTTGTTTAGAGAGCCCTGCTTTTCCTGTCAGCTAAAAGCCTCTATTAGCACTGCAAGTGTCAGCTGTTTTCTGTTTCTACTTTAGCCTGGTCAGGTTCCATTCACGCAGGGGAACCCCAGCAGGAGTGGAGTTGAGGACACCTCCACTGGGTTGCCTTACTCTGAACTCAGGAGAGGAGGTGAATCATGTGATAAGTTTGAGAATTTAAAACATTTTCACTTCGTGGAGGTTTTCAGAGTATTTGCTTCATATACTGTTGTATTCAGTCATTCGAAATAACTGGTTAATATATGTAAGTATGTAAGACCTTACTGTTGCTCTAATAAAGACCTACTCTTACGTTTTGATTTAGACGATTTTTCTTTTTCTTTCTTTCCCCAAATAGGTGGCTCATGCTAAAATCCAGGCCTTAGAATCAAACCTGGAAAATCTTTTGACCAGAGAGACCAAAATGAAGTCTTTAATCCGGACCCTGGAACAAGAAAAAATGGCCTATCAGAAGATCGTAGAGCAAATCCGGAAGCTGCTGCCAGCCGATGCCGTCGCCACATGTGAACTGCTGCTGAGAGACCTCAACTGCAACCCAAACAACAAAGCCAAGATGGGAACTAAGCCATAACTGGAGATGTGCGGTCTCAGCGGGAAGTGCCCCTTAGGCTGCTCCAGATAGGAGGAGCCTGCATGCTGCAGGCCCCTGGCTGGACACTGGAGCTGGTGGAAACACCTTACCCTGGTGCTGAGCCCTAAACGCAGGAGACCTCGCTCTCACCAATGCAGGCCAATCCTAAGCCATTGTACATAGGAAGACTGGTTTTTGTCTTTGTTGCTGACTATGTACATATATGCAAAGTGGATCTGAGTTCATGCTCTCAGATAAAATGAGATGTACATTTAGAGCATTTTTTTTTTTTTTTTAGTAAAAACTTAATGAAATCCTCACCAAAGGGAAACTAAAGTGAAATTCCCCAGGGACACAGATGAAATCTTTTTGTCTATATAGTGAAACAAAGCTAGAGCATCTTTGTATATTGAAACATACTTGAAAAAAATGAATGTATTTTTTTCTCCAAAGAACAGCATGTTTCACTCAATGATGGAAAAGTGGAAACATTTATATAACTCGATGTGTATTTGTCTTAAAAATCTACTGACATTGTCCCTGAGAGGAACATGACCCATTGCTAGTTATGCTCCTGTGGGGTCTTGGGGAAGAGAGGGGCCTTTTTCCCCCTGCCTGCTTCGTGCCAACTAGCGGGTTGCATCAGCACACATTTGTGTCTGATCAGACGTACCTTAGATGTACCTAAGAAAAGGCAGGGCGTCATGACCAGGTCTAGCCAGCTCAAGGTAAAGGACAGTGATGCTAATTTTCTAGCAAATTAGACCAGCATTGTTACTCAAACAAAATACTATATTAGACCTCAGCAATATAATTTAGGACTTAAATTGCCTAGATTGCCTTTTTATTTAAATGACTCCCTTAGTGATGAATGGACTTCCCTTTAATTGATGCCACCAAGGGACAAAGCTTTGCTATTTCCCCTCAGCCCCAAACTGTGAGAGCTCTTCATTTCTCTCTCAAATTTAGGGTAAGGAAATACCTTTAAGATTGATTTTCTAAAGGTGACATGCTGTGTTGAGATTTTTTGTTTTGTTTTTTTGCCAATCGACAGAATTGAATAAGCTCTTCATCATCTTCCTCTTTTATGTGAAAATGTTTGAGAACTGTGAAATGTTTAGGGACGAACTGCCGAAATGCAATGGAAGGGAAGGGAAAAGTGGCCCTGTGCCTAGCTAAAACCTGCAGCTGTGCGTTCAGTCTCCCCACCTCCTCTCCCTACAGCTACCTTATCAGGGGGCATTCATGCATGCTGAGGGTACGGAAGGAAAGCAACTTCCAAAGTACACCGACGATTCTCCACTTCCAAGATGATTCTACGATAGTGCCTCTGAACGTAGATGCGGTATTTTTGCCTCTTAAACAGTATCTATCATCTCTGCTTTTTGCAGTATTTGTATTTTCACAGATGGATTATCTGGGGTAATTTTCTCCAAAGGGAGTTTGTTCTACAGAAGCTGAAATGTGTAAGAGTAGAAGAATTAAACTCTAAAGGTTTCAGAAACCCTTAATGAGTAGATGACACTTCTGAAAACCCCTCTGCAGTGTAGGCCAGTGTAAAGGTCACAGCTATCAAGGTCAGCATGCCCTTGAATCCAAGCATTTTTCTTAAAAGACAACAAAGTCTTATTAGTAAACTTAATGTAATTTCTAGGATCTAGAAAATGCTGATTCTAGATACCCCAGTCATTTGGAAGCCACTAATTGATTTCTTGCTTGGATTTACTGAAAATTTCTCTATTTGTGGGAAGAGATGTTTTCCTTTCAAGAATAGGACAACAAATTTCATCTTACTGTCTGGTGATTAAAAGTTACCACGTGGGTGTGACACTCAGGTGGTAACCAAGGAATCTTCAAGTTGCAGAAAGACACTTTTTCTTTCTTTTGCTCAGTTTAAGATGAACTTTAGTTTGGATGTTTAGAATCAACATTAATGCATTGTATGGACACTTTTTCTTTCTGCTGCTCAGTTTAAGATGAACTTTATTTTGGGATGTTTAGAATCAACATTAATGCATTGTATTATGGTGTTCAGAGATTAAGGTGACTTGGATACAATATTTTCTTTTGAAATTGGATTTTCTTTTCCATTCGTGATTTTTAAAAACATGCCGCGCAAGTTATGCTTCATGCATTGTTGCATCTTCATCAGGTTAATGTACTGTCTAGTCCATTTCCAATAAATGCATTACTGTAATTTCCTTGGCTTACTGGTTTTTACTTTGCTTACTTTTGGGGAGAGAAGCTCTGAGTTAGATTCCTTTACAAGATCTGCATAGGTGGGATTGTTACTGCTATTTAATGGGGGTCAGCCCAGCATGTGGCAGTGAAGGTAGTTGGATCCCACATGGCTTACCTCATGGTGTGAGTCCCAGACTCAGTGGCATAAGAAACACAACAGGCACATGTGCATGTGTGATCCAAAGAGGAGTGCTTTCTCACTTTCCCTCTGTCTCTGTTTCTCCAGCAAACACACATACCCTCTGGCATATATATATATATATTTTTTTTTTAAATGGACATATTAACGATTCTTCCTAATAGTATCTGAGCAACAAAGATAGACATTTATGAAAATACATTTTTATGATTTTCAGTTTCTTTTCCAAGGAATCCTCTGGCAAGTGACTGTAGAAAGAAAAATACAGTCACACCCATAGTTTTGCATTCTACCTCTTTCGTAGTCTGGGCCCCCTCATAGGTAACAGAGGAAAGACGATACACATACACACACACACACACACACACACACACACACACAGACACACACTTTCCATGTGGATTAGCTACTAAATAAAAATTAAGGGCACTTAATGATGGATATGAGGACATGAATATATTTATACAAAATATATAGCTTTTAGAATATTCACAAGCACGTTTGTAGTCCATTAGAAGCATAGTATTAATGTATCTTCTCGCTAACCCTAGGACTAAAATTTTCAATTATTTTGTAGTACCTATAGTGAACATTTTGGGAAGGCAGTATAGGCTCAATAGTGTAGTCTCTTTCCTTTATGATAGAGAGAGGGAGAGAAAGAAAGGGGAGAGGAACATTTTGGAGAACTCCCCTGTGTCACAGTGCCCCTGCCTTTGACTCCCAGTTAGCTAGGATTCCAGGCATGCATATCCATACCCAGCATATCCAGGTTTGCCTGGGAGCCAAACCGGGGCTTCCTGTGCAGCTTCCAGCCTCCCATGCAAGGCACTACCTGTGTGCCAGTATGGCTGGCCCAGTACAGACTCTTAATATTCACATTGACTTATCCATTTTATCACCATGTCACCCATTTGTTTCTCATGGTGCTAGACTGGGAATAAGAAATTTGATGTGGTAGCTGATTTAGTCCTCTGCCACAATGTAACCCGCTCATGAGCTGCAATGTAATAAAGAAAAATAAATAAATAAAACACTAGATTTAGGGTGGGACGTTTTAAATCTGAGTTTGATCACTTTTATTTATTCATTCAACAGTTCTTGGGAGCCTATTCCAAGCTAGAGACCAAGTATTCAGACACTTGAGCAATGTATTGAGATAGAGTGTGATTATAGCCACAGTGTTACTAGGGATATGGTCTTTTCATCCTCATCATCTTATGGGACCACTGGCATGCACCATCACTGGTGGAAACTTTGTTACGTGGAGCCCAGGTAAGGATAGTTAAGTGTAGTCTCACAGGGTTGTCTGGGAGATCAGTTTCCTAGTCAAGGAGGTCTCTGTCAGGAAGGACCAGGTGGAATCTGCGCTTTACCTAGAGGGCAATGGGAGCCACTAATGACCAGTAACGTAGAGAGACCTCAGACTTGCTCCAGTCCATTTTACACATGTGAACAGAAACTAGGGAATAGGAGACTACAATCAGGTGAATGCAATCAAAATCTAGGGAAACACTAAACGCCTGACCTAGGACAGTGACCTTTGGGAAAG